ATTTGTGTTACGAAATGGGATTAATTACACATGAATTACCTCAGATATTTCCATTTCCTCAGTCTTTGTTGTAGGGAATGAATGAAAATGAGTATTTTCCAGGTACTGCTGATGTGTTATAAACCACCCCAAAACTTGATGGCATAAACAATCGTTTTCTTAGGCTCATGGAATCTGTGGGTCAGGAATTCCGGCAGGGCACAGTGGGAATGGCTTGATTCTGTTTCTTGATGGGAAGATTCAAACAGCTGAAGGGGACTCAGCAGCTAGGAAATGAAATTATCTGGAGGTTCTGGGATGACTCAAATGTTGGACTCACCTGAGGCAGGCAATGCACCTGCATGGAGCCCTTCCACAGGCTTCAGATCCTCACAGCATGGCTGTCTCAGGGGGGTTGGACATCAAGGCTCCCGGCTCCCAAAATGAGCATCCCATGTACAGGGCAGAGGCTGCATCACCTTTATGATCTAGGCTGGGAAGTCACATAGCACGACTTCTGCTGAATTGTACGAGTAGAGGCAGTCACAAGACTGCTCAGATTCCAGGAGAAAAGAGAGAGAGAGAGAGAGAGAGAGAGAGAGAGAGAGAGGGAGAGAGAGAGAGAGAGAGAGAGAGAGAGAGACCCCATCCCTCAATGGGAGAAGTGTCACTCAGTTTTATGGCTTTTTTTTTTAATGCCACCACAGGAACAGTTTCTTGCTATAATCAATGACATCTTTGTTTTCGGTTAGGTCACTCTGCCTTACCAAGCATAGAACACTCATGTCTAAACAATGTTGAACATGAACCTGATTTGATGGGGAACAAGCTTCCTTGCTGTTTCCTGAAGAGAAATGTCTGAACTTTAAAAAGCTGCTTGGCAGCAGCAGCGTCTGCAGAGCACCACAACATCTGAGAGCAATGCTGAAAATTCTGTAACCTGTCCAGTCGCTGGTGGGACGAGAAGACCCGGCTTTGCCTGCCCAGGTGGGGGAGGGGAACAGTAAATGACTCCAAGTGCTTTACGAATCAGCTTTTCAACCTCTCTTTTAAAGATAAATACTTTAGTTGAATTAATTTGGGTCATGTAAAAAACCTCAGTTTAATTTTCTTTTTGAAAGTAAGTTTCCATAAGCTGGTGTGATTTATTTATTTTCTTCATTTAGCCAGTTTAAATTATTCAGGGACTGTGTTTTAGTGCTTAATTGGGCAAGTCATTAATGACCCTGGTGAAAATGAGACGGAATGGCTGTGTTTACATCATGCCTGTTTCTGTTAGATTATTTTTTTTTTCTTTTTAGCAGGAGAGTTATTTATTTGAAACTATTGACCCAAATACATTATCTGAGATTTATTTCTGCATCACCAGGTGGGGCCCTGGGCTTGGGGCTTAAAGAGGCCAAGGCCTTACATCATCCTGTTTATCATTTATTTGAGCAAGGGCTTTAAAGCAGCGGTTCTCAACCTGTGGGTCGCGACCCCTTTGGTGGTCGAACGACCCTTTCACAGGGGCCGCCTAAGACCATCCTGCATATCAGATATTTACATTACGATTCATAACAGTATCAACATTACAGTTATGAAGTAGCAACGAAAATAATTTTATGGTTGGGTCACAACATGAGGAACTGTATTTAAAGGGCCAGAAGTTTGAGAACCACTGCTTTAAAGAAACATGTCCCAGTGGTGAATCAAGAATAAAGGGGCAGACTCAACAAATTCAGAAGTTTGTATCACTTTGGTGACAATTGGTTATTCAAATGGTCATTATTCAGAGGTGATAATGGATGGAGATTAAAAAAATCTAACCTCCCCCGCCCAGGATACCATCTCTGATTTGAAACTATTTTTTTTGTTGTTTACTTACCTTGCATGTTAAACCATGATGTGTGGGAGAAATACGAAATTTGGAATTAGGCAGCTGTGAATTTATATTCTGCACATTTTATGTGGATGCAGATAAATTTCTCAAACTTTGTGAGCCAGCAATTTGGTTATAATAAAATAGGGACAATAACACGTAAGGGTTAAATGAAGTACGGAACATAAAACCTGGTTGCAGAGCCTGGCACGGAGTGAAAGGGGACGCATTAGCTGTTGGGTTGTTTTATTCACTTTTCGCAACTTCAATAGTCCAGCAGAAGCAGAAGACACAGCAGTGCTCCATACAGATGACGTGGTCTTGAAGCTCTTGTGGGCTGAGTATTTCCAAGGAGTGAACTTACTCACCTTCATCCCTTCTAAGCCAGGTTGTTAGTGCCTTTCTCCCAAACAAAACAAATCAGGGTTATGACTGGCATTTCGGAGACTTGGGACATAAGGGTAACAGGGAGACCGTTTTACAGTTATTGGACATTGGCTATGTGCCAGACAACATACTGAGTTTTCATATACGTTCTCTCATTTACTTCTTACAATGGCCTTAGGAGAAGATGTGATACTCCTTAATCAACTACCCTAAACTATTAGTGGTTTAGTGGGCAGCTCTGATGTGAGCCAGGCTGGGCTGATCTTGGCTGGTTTTGCTCAGGTGTCTGTGGTCAACTGATGGGGCAACTGGTATAGACCAGACTAGGATGGCCTTGGCTGGCTGAGACAGCTCAGTTCCACCCAATGTGGTCTCTCATCTTCTTACAGGTTATCACCTTCTTACAGGTTATCTTATAGGTTATATAGGCTTGTTCTCATGGTGGTGGCAGGGGTCCAAAAAAGGAAGGGGAAACATGCATGTCACTGTCATGTGGCCAAGCTCTGAGTTAGGGTGGGAGAGCACATTCAGAGGAATGGATTCAGGAAGGCATGAACAAATGGGGGCCATTAGTATACTTGTTCTTCCGCAACAGGTAGCATTATTACCCCCATTATAGAGGAGGAGATGGACGCTAGCAATGCTGTGCCTCTAGTCTTGGGCATTGGCCGAGCGGCTCCCTAGTGTCTTGTTCTGCTGTGTACTTTCTTAGTGATCTACTACATGAGTTGGGAATGTTTTCCAATAAGCTATATTTCTCCCTCTCTCCCATTATTTGGTGTTCATTTGAAATTTCATGTAAGATTTTTAGGACTAACCAATTAGTCCTAATGAAACCCAGTAGAATGGCATGGAGGCACAGTGCAGGTAAGATGGTAAGGTAAGTCTACTTATTAGAGAAAATGAAGGGGAGGCAGATATGTAATTGGATGGAGCATAAATTGAAGAATATGATACAAATGTATACTTCTATTTGTCGGTTTCCCTGATTGTGCCGCGTCTGCTCCCCCTTCTCCAGGCCATCTTCTCTGAATCCCGACACCCAGTCTGAAAAAGGCAAGACCCTAGCATTGGCTTGGGGCATTTATTAGCTCTTTGACCTTGGGTAAGGAAGTCACCTAACTACTCCGAGCCTCCATTTCCTCCTGTGTGCAATGAAAATAAAGCACAGATGTTCGTTGCGTGGGTTAAAGGAGACCTGCAGGGGAAGCACCCTGCCGGATAGAAGCCTCCATGATTCATGGCTGCCTCTCCCCCCCACTCCCCCAAGCTTTTCTTGGTACCTGGAAATGCAACAGCTTGGCCTGCAGAACTGAGGGGTCTCCTGGTGAGCTGCCCGGGTGGTGCAGAGAGGTTGAGCAGCAGGAGGGCTGTTAATGGATTTTATGGCTTTGTTGAGCACCCCAAACTACAGTTATTAATTATAGAACGATGTTTAGACACTGTTGTGATATATACATTTTGTTAATTGATGGGGATAAGCTCATATCTAGCAATATAAAGAATATTCAGGCCCATAACACTTACAAAGCATGGTAATTACCGTTTACCTCCCTCTCTTGCTTCTCAGGCAGGAACAAAGGCGTTGAGCAGAGGACAGACAGCTCTCCTTGGTCTGGCTCTCTACTGTCTAATCTGGCAGGGTGATGGTAAATGTGTTGCATTAATGAATAAGTAACTATCTTTTTGTTTGTCTCTCTACTTCTCTATCTTATTTCTTATTTGTTCTTTATACTAGTAAGCCCTGAACTGTGTATGATATAGGCACTACCTATATGCAAATATGGTCAAGGACTTATTCTGAGCTATTAGTTAATGTTCATTGAGAACCTTTATGAACCTGGCACGGGCTAAGAGGCGCTGGATCCCTGCGCACAGAGAACTGACATTACTCAGCCACATAAGGTGTTTGTTACAATGCATGTCAGGTGGCCGGGTCTTAAGATGTGTAGAGTGACAACATCAAGGTGGTAACTTCTGGCCTGGGCACCATACTGCCGAGAGTTTGTGTGTGCTCCCACCGAACCGTCAGCAGGCCCCAGCACCCCAAGTGTGCCTTTTCTGATGTGTATCAGCGTCTGAGAGCCATGGCAGCCCCCGGCCCGTTGCCCTTTGGGTCTGCGGGGGATTTACCCCGGCCCCGACAGCTCGGTCCCTTTACTCCCCGCTTTTCAAGCTCTCGCGGTGGGGCCTGGCGCCCTCCCCAGACCAGACGGCAGAGAGCTTCCAGAGACCCCCCCAAGGGCCAGACCCCGCAGCGACGCTCCGCCCACCCCCTCCCGCGCGGACGTCAGCTCCAAGGGTGTGGCGGGGGCAGGTCCCCAGGCGCCCCGCGGACCGGGATCAGGCCGCAGGTGACCACTTTCCGAGGGGCCACGCCATCCCCGGAGGCAGCTGTTTGCAGAGCCGGAGCTGGCGCGCGGGGCGGAGGGCTCCCCGCAGCCGCCCGCCAGGGCTCCGGGACCGATCGCGAGGAGGGTGGATGAAAGTTGGGTTCGGGTCCGCTGAGCTGGGAGCGCGGAAACCGGGACTGCTGTCCGCAGCTTTTTGATTATGCAGGAGCCATCTTCCTCCTTTTT